TGTTGTGGGCAGCCCCAGGATAGCAGTACACGATGGAAGTGGTCAGGGAGGAGTGTCCCCCACTCAGCTGTGCAAACAGATGCTGCTGTGCTGGACATGGCTCCTCAAGGCATGGAGTGTACATCTCGTGGAGTGAGTATGCAGGGAATCATGAGATGCCCAGAGCAGTTACAGACACTTCCTGTGGCTGTGTTGTCTGACACACACCTCTGCACACGTGGAACTGCGAGTTCTCTCCGTTTTTACCCAGGCTGGGAAAAGTTCATCTAATTCTTTGGAATTCCTGACAGAATATGGGCAAAGTCTTTTAGGTGCCTCTTACTGCCTTTCTTTTTATCCATCATATATCACTCTTTCAAGTGATTTTTCTATACTTCAAGTCTGTTCCTCTATAGGAAAGAGAAACTGGACTTTCTTACAAAGATTTTTGTGAATTAGTTGATTTTAATTAAGAATTTGTTAGAAATCTGTAAGAAGAGTTTTGTTTATTTTGAAAGACAATTTATAGTCATTCTGTATTAATGCTTACATTTTGAAACGGGACATCAGATTCCTTATTATCTTTTTTTTAATTGATTTATGCTTTTTTTTAAAGCTAGGATATTGAGTGAGATGGAACAAACATTTAGATGCAAAAGTATTTAAATAGATTAATTATTACAAAAGCCATTACATCATGAGAAATTTTAAGTTTATTCTGAAAGACACAATCACATGGAATGGCACAGCCAGTAGAAAACTGCATCAGTTTTTTTGAGTTTATATTCTTTTCCCTGATCTTCCTTACATCCTTCTTATTAAAAAAAAACCCAACACTTACTGTGAGTCCACGTGTCCATGACATGTACATACTGAAAGGGTTACAGCTGTGGCAAAAGATATTTTAATTAAGTCTTCAAATAGGAATCATGCAAGATTGAGTTGTGGTCATGAATACTGGGAGTGCGCAGCCACCTCACTGTTTTGAGCACAGATTTTGGTAACATTTCTCATCAGGAGGTCTGTGATCTTTTGCTGGGGTCCGTGGACACAGAGCTGCTTCTGCTGCTTCCAGGTTCAAGCGTTCACCACTGGCATTCACAGCGTGAGGCAAAAAGAGTCTCTGTACTCAGAATTGGTCTAGGAGCTGGCTAGCCAGCTTTGTCATTTGACTTCAAAAGCACCACACTGTGCTTGGTTTGGAAGGGTTGCTTCGTGCATTTTTCCCTCAAGTGAAGGTAGACTTCCTTAGAAATTGTTACAGATCAGGTGTCAAGTGTATTTAGCAATTCTATCTGCTTTCCATTTCTCCTGGGCCAGAACGATTTGTTTTAGGCTTTGAAAATGAATAGATTATAATTTCAGTTGTTTGTTTACACCTGAAATAATCTTATTTTAGTTGTTGGCCAAATAAGAGTAAATCTCCAGCTTTCCAGTTTGCTTTGGTGGTCTGCGTGGGTATAGTAATTTTTAGTGATTATTTAATGTTCCAGCACAATTTAAATCTTTCATTTTTTCAATTTTTTAAATGCACTTAGGTTTAATTAAATAGAGCAAAACTTTGTATTCTTTCTCTTTAAAATGGTAACTTAAATCTCTTAGTTTGCATTCTGTTTATTGTAACATTATTGGTCAAGTACAGATGTGGTGTGATCAAGTATGAAGGTACTTCAGAAACTAAGACTCAGGAAAATTAAACTGTGACAGTTTGCAAAAAGAAAATATTAACATTTCAGCATACATTTTTGCAAGTTTTATTTCCCTGGAAATTGAAAACTTAGGAAAATCATGTATTACTTCAAAAATCCCTTTTCCACAGAAATCCATGGAGTATTGTGGTGAAGTGTTCTGTGGGATCATTTGAAAATCAGGTGATGTGCTCATGTTGATTAAGGGAATCTGTGTTAGGAATCTAAAGAAAGCATTGTAAGATTAGGAATTACAATAATTACTTCAATTTGGTAACTCCAGTTAGATCAATGAAAGCAAAACAGTATATGTGCTTTTTTCTACATCCATCATGCTACATCCATCAGGACAGAGTTGGATTGGAAGGAGTTTTTAGGAATATTCTTGAATCTTTGTGAAATAAATCAAGTCTTTCATTTGTGTGCATGTGTGTGTGTTGGGGTGGGAGGAGGGAACTACTCGACTTTTCCATGATACTTCTGTAAATGACTTTTCATTGTTTTCTCAATACAGCATGTTCCAGGTAATACATGTTAGCTGGTATCTTCTGTGTGGTTACTGGGCGTTCCTTTTAGACTTGAATGTCACTTAGACTTATGTGTCACACTTGTGCTGTGCAGACAGTGCATGCTCTGAGAATACTTCATAAAAAACAGAATGTACCACTGCAGTTGAAGAAGGACACTTGAAACCTAGGCATAGTTTTGCTGCATAAGGCTATTTTAGTAGTAAGGAAACCTTTGTAAGAAACTGTGGCCTACATTTGTATACCTACATTTGCTTTCAGAAATTTAGCTGTTCAAGAAACATTGTGCTGTCTTGAGAGGGCAGTCATATGGGGAAGTGCAAGAGTGTTTTTATGTGCATTGACACAATACTAATTTTTTTCTTCTTTCGTCTTAAGTAAACGGTAAGAATAAATATTTTTACTTAGAAGGATTTTTTCCATAGAAGTGTGTTGGACAGATTTTGGTTTTGTAGTAGTGTAGTCCATGTTTCTGAATACATGGATTTAATATATAATTTAAAAATATATTTAAAAGTGAGAACAGATGTTTCAGAGATACAAGCTACACTTAGCTACTATAACCTGATTTAGCTTAGTTTAAAAGGATTACTGTGGCTTAAGGAATTGGTTTCCTATGGTAACATCAGAATGCATGTATTATTGCATGCAGTTAAAACTTACCAGGGATTCTGCTTATCCATGTCCATCTTAGTAATAATGGAAAAGTAATACTGTGGTGACTTAGTGTTCTTCACATACAGCACTGACCAATTTCCAGGTAATTACTCTATATTCAGTGTGGATGGGACTGTAAAAATGTGTTATCTGTGTGCCAGTCATCACTAATTTTGAAGTGGTATTTTGAAATTACCACTTTTTTTATCCTTTAATTAGTCCTGGCACAAAAAGTAGGTTTCTGGAGCTGTAGGTGTAGAAAGGTGGGTTTGTTTCAAGTTTGGAGTTGTCCATTCTTGCCTGCTACTTACAATGCCAGTGCGTTGCCCTCTGTCCACAGCAAACAGGAGCTTTTGCCTGGATTTTCAAAGCAGCAGAAGGATAAATGCCTTAATACAGTCTCAGTGGGTCTTCTGACAGTCCACAAATGACATTTTGAAATCCACTAAAAATTATGTTCAGGCTTTAATCTTCAGTATTTACACTGGCCTTTGGGCATAATCAGAAAATATTGCTAATCATATCCGAAATAAACATTTTATACTGACAAGTGAGAAAACTATGAGTAAGCATTCTTCTGTGGATCTGGATTTACAATAACAACAAGAAGTATATATACGTCTAATGAAGCATTCTAATAATTTAAGTGCCTTGCAGTTTATCTGTATTTAAACATTACAAAATGAAAGAGTACAGTTTGGTAACTCTAAATATATCTTGATTGTTTATCACAGTGGGGTATCTGGGTATCTTCTGTGAGGTTCCTTATTTTGCAGCCATGAGGAAGCTACTGATTTGATACTGAGTTGTAGTTCTCCCCTTTTCCATATTGGCACAAATACATCAACATCATAAGAATACACATTCTTGAAAGAACGGTTTATTTGATTCAGTAAAATTTTGAAGTTCTTTATAATTTACTGGTTTAAGTCCTAAGTGCATTTGGAGGGGACGAGAGCATTATCTAGTGGTCAAGTTAGGAGCTAATTTACAGTTCTGTTCACTGTTCAGTGAGAACTACAAAATTGATAAATATCATCTCAGATGTTATTATAAATACAGCTGCTCATTAATTTTTCAGTACAGCAGCCTTTCGTCTGGAAATGCTGACTCATTGAAACTAAAAGTTTTTAAGAATCCAAGAAAACTTGGAAAAGTGTTTCCTAACAAAACTGTCTGCTAAACGTGCAGCCAGGGAGAGCTTCCAAGGCAGACAGTCGGAGCACTATCTGGGAAATTCAGATTTCTGATCTGCCTGGTTCTCAGTCAGAGGACAGAGTGAGATATCTCTTTTCCCAGAGGACTGACAGGACCACCAACTCACTGAATTTGCAGGAATTGTCTTTGGTTTAGATATTAAGTAAAGGCTTAACTAATTTATGTTAAGACATACATACTGGATTTTTAAGCTCATGTTTCTTAAACAACTTTGCTGCTGGAAAAGTGAACAAACACAGCAGCAGTTGATGGTGCTGTCATTTTACTGTCCAAACAGAAAACAAAGGTCACTGTATAAGGAAAAGTTATCTTAACCCATTAAGAAGGAGACAGTCTTGGCTCGCTTGAGCTGATGTTGCTAAAATGCCTATTTCCTCAGCACAAAGAGCAGTAACCAGGAAATAACAAGGTCAGCTATCGCGCTCTTTGTCCCTTTCGCTTGCTAGAAAACACTTTCACCCTCAGCTAGTTTCCTCCCAGAACCACAGCCGGCACAGCAGGGCCCTTGGCTGGAAAAGGGTGGGGTCTTGGCTGCTGTGCTGCATGGCTGGATGCTGATGTGTTGTGCTGATTTGTAATCATTTACGTGCTGCATGCTTCCATACGTGATTCCATAGTCTCAACTATTACTCTATTAAGTACTGTAACAACTTGTAAAGGGCGGGGTGAAAAGTGACCCTGTTCTCGACTTCATTCTTACAGAGAAATTAGGAAATTAAAAGAGCAAAAGAACCTCTGTGCAGGGATGTAGCATAGTCACGGTACATTTTTCAGGATGAAGCTATCACATTTTTCAGGATGAGTGTTGGATCGAGGGTATGCTGGGAGGATAATGTGAAAAAATGTAAGAGCATTCCTGTTTCTGAATCTCAAGAAAAACATAGCCTTAAATAAAACTACCACATAAATAAAGTCTCGAGTCTTGTATGAGAAACTGAATAAAAATAAATAAGTTATGTTCATATAAAGAATAGTTTCAAAATTCCTTGACCGTAGGAAATATTAATTCTTATAAACGGAGTATCTCTTAGGAATTTTGTTGAAATAAATATATGCCTAAAATGGAGATTCATTGCTTTATTTGACAATTGTACCAGCTTCTCATCAATCCTTTTAGGCAAAGCCAGAATCAAGTCATAAAAATCGACCTTCTATTTATCTTTGCAGTTTAATCATTTGCAAATTATCATTCTTACTGATAGCATTCATAATAATTTACTTGTGTAAGCATGTGTACATTCCATTGAGTGCATTTTTGCTATTCATTTAGGATGATTAGAAATTACTGGGTTGAGTATTCTGTGAAAGTTTTACAAAATGTTTGCCTTGACTTTATGCAAGCATATATAGAAATGAAGATATTGCTTACATTCTTCTCATGCAGTGGTGTTACTAAATTGAGAAAAATGTCACTTTTGGCTACAGCTGAATTTCAATTTATTTTGTATTGAATAATTCTAACTTTTGAAATGGCAAGTCAAAAGGGAAAATAGTTCAATGTTAAATAATTAAGGAATATTTTTCAATTAGTATTTCAGGAGTGAGATAAAATTTGGCAGTAGAAAAAAACTTTATAGGTACGTTTTGGCTTTTAGTATTAGTAACACAGACTATTGTGTAAAGTCATGCCATGTTATCTCTATTGTTACAAAATCAAGGATCATTTTTGAATTTGACTAATGATGATACAAGTTAGAAAGTCAAAAATACCTTAAAGGCCAATTGACAAAATGGCCATACATTAAAATATGTGAGCTAAGGTGAAATAAAGCTTCTTTTAAAAACCCACAGCACAGGGAGAGCAGACCACTATAGGTACAGATGTTTGAGTTTGTTGGGGTTTTTTGCAGAGACCACTGTTACGAGTCATAGGCAGAAATGAATGTGAATCTTTTAGTCCCTCCCAGCTAGAGTGCTTTCCTTAATAACACTTCTTTTCTGCTACTTTACCATAGAAGAACTGGAAAGAGAGGTACTCTAGTGCTAAATCTCAGATCAAACACCATTCTTCCTCTTACATGCCATACTATTTCCAGAGGAAGAATGGGTCCTGTTAGTACTTTTCCCATAGTTACTATGAGGGTGGTGCTTAGGATAGGTGCTGAGGCTGATTTACAGAACAGAGATTCACTTACATGATAAATGTTGGAAATCACAGAATGTCTACATTTTTTTTAATTTTCTCTTTTTTAACTACTGCAAATTTTCTCATTTTTTGTTGGCAAGGAAACAGTTATGACATTTTCTACTACAGTAATTGGCTGCCCAACTGGAAATTGTGAAGAAAAAGGAAAACAAATTATCAGTGACTACATTCACTCCTTAGATATTCTGAGATGCTTTTTCTTGTCTCTTGCTGTTCGTTTGTTTTCTCCTCGATACTTTACATTGTTAAAATCTGAAGATAGACCATCATAACCAAATTTACGTATTTTTTCCCCTCTCCTTTAAAATAATCACAATGTCTGCTGCAGATTTTAAGTGAGTTACACACACTGATGTGGCTCAAGTGAAATGCTTTCCACATTAAAATTCTTTGTTGATCAAGAGATCTTTAGGATATCAGAAATCAAATTAAGAAAGTAAAACTTTTAGACTGAGAGAGAAAAATAATTAAAAACCACTCTTTTATGTTTTTGGGTTTTTTCAAAATACAGTCAAAGTCACAAGACAGCATCAGTCAGGGCATTTTTGTAATTGCCAGAGGGTTAGCTGTGATGGTTGTGAATTCTTGTCAAGTGAAGAAATTAGTCATTAAAACTGACTTTTTTTCCTTCAAGTTTTGAAAGTTTGTCTTAAGAATGCCTAATTTCCTATTAGAAATATTTATTTTATTATTTTTCTCGTGTTCATAGTATTTGGAATGCTTTATTTCTCTCCAAACTCTCCCTTCTCCTTCTCGTCCCAGCTGTATAGTGGAATAGATTACCAATTGTGAATAAAAAATAACCTCCAATCTATATATATCTATAACCTCCAAAATATATTTTTCCCCCCTATACTTTGACTGGAAGGTCAGAGTCTCTTTTCTGGTACAAAGGATCTAGTCTTTGGCTTGATCTCAACCATATCACAGGAGCTTTACAAGTAGGAGAGAAATTAAATATTCTGGAGGTTGAAATATGCCACTGATTCAAAACTTCAATGCCGCTTGAGTGTGGAACCTAAGCACATTTTTGAGTAGTGTTTCAAAAATGTCTGTTTCTCTGAAGGTGGGAATGTTGCATCTGATATTAACTGAAGTACAGCCATGTTCTTTAGGCAATTTCTCGAAGAGGGTGCATATGTAGATTTAAGAAGATTTTTCCCCACAACCTGTGCTTTTACCATAGAATGAAACAGACCTGGACCAAAACAGTCATTGCAGTAAGCACGTTCCCATCGTGTGTTCTTACTTGTTCTGGAGGATTTGCTCAGCTGAAGGCAGATGCTTTTAAGCTTGTTGCTTCTCCTTCTGCTGTCCCTGTTGTTGGCTTACCCTCTAGAAAGGAAAGAATCACTCCCCCCAGCACTTTCCTTGTTTGCTCTTTCTCTTTGTCATCTATGCTACCTACCTTGTCCTTAAGAAGCCAGTGAGAAACTTCTCTTTGCAGCTTTTACCCCTTCTGTCAGGCAAAATCCCCAGTTAGGCAATCATCCACTCCCCGGGATGTTTGGGTTAGAAAAGCTGATTTATCTTTGGTGGTCCTAGAACACCACAGTCTTAAGTACTTTTATTCCCTTTCATTAATCTCTGTCCCATATTTTCAGTGGTTTGGGGAATCTGACTCAAATATATAAAGTTTAATACAAAAAAAAGTTTCATAAGCAGAACTTGTTTTCCAGATCATCTCCAAAAACCATTATTGCTACATGTGAAGCTTTCTTAGGCAGTTTTTTAAGATTATTGCATGGAAATTTGCAGGCAAAGCAACGATCATAGTGTACTTCATATATTTTTCATTGCTGATATGGCTGTGATTGCTTTTTTATGTTTGTACGGGAGAAATAGTCTCAGTTCATATTTGCACTGTTATTAAATTGCAAAAAATAACACAACATCTAGCCATATACTTGACCTTCTTATGTTGAATGTGCCAACAGGGACTTGAATAATTACTGTCCAAAGCATTACCCAGTTGCTCAATCCAAATCACCTCCAAGAACAGGTATTTCCAGTGGTGTGCTATACTTCTGCTAGCATGATTGGCTTATTACAGTATTATTTATGTTAAACAATGAAATAGGATTGTTACAAAAATCCCCCATTTCTTAAAAAATCATAGCAAATTCATATACTGCATGGTCCAGACTCTACAGAAAAGTAAGATGGTACACTGGAAGTGATTGCCTTGATAGAATATTTGATAGTTTTCAGCTAGCATAGAATAGTTAATAAAATGGATAGTAATACAGTGGTTTTTCCCTCTTTTTATAATTCTACAGTGATCTGGGTAAGACTGATAGTTCATTTTTTAAAAAATAATTTTTAAACAAAAGTCTCTAAAGAGAAAATTAAACTCTTGGAGAAAAAGCAAATGCATGAAAGGTATTTATTTCCTTGGACTCTCATATGCTTGCCCTGGCTCTCCAAGTGCCAAGTGGTGTAAGCAAGATATATAATCCCAGATAAACATAACCATCTGAAAAGTGAGTGTAATGATTCAGTATAGAGCTTTAACATGCTTCAGTTGCAGTTGAAGTACATTTTGACCTGTGCTTGAGTAATTTTGGAAGAGCACATGAGTTTTCTTTACTGTTTATATGTAGAAAGAGATATGGAAAATACTTGTTTTCCATGGGATATCAGTGTAGAACTTAAATAACTTAGTAAAAATAGATATTTTTTTCATATGTCATAAAAATTCTGACTGGTTTTGTAAAGTCAAAGAGAATGGGATGTCTTATCCTGTTATTTAGTGATATGTTTGATTTATCTCTGTTAGAAGTTTTAACTCCAAGTCAATTGAAGCGTAGTCTGTGCATGTGCAGCTGTCAGAGCCCAGGGAAAGCTTGGACACCCTATTCCGGTGGTGTCTCCATCTCTGTCCTCACATTGGTCCAGCTGAGCTCTCACCCCAAGACTGAGGCAGGAAGGGTGTCTGTGCAGGGCACTGCCTTTCCTGGGCAGTGGCCTGTGGAAAGAGAGAGAGAATGACCATTTTCAGGAAGCTGCTCCATGAGGAGGGTGGGTGATTGCCCCTGGGGAAAGCCAGAAATGGCCTCTGTCGTCCTCTGGCTCCAGCATCTCAGTGGTTTGGCATGTCAGCATGGGAGCCCTGAGTTAGACTACAGGTGACTGCTTGGTCTTACAAGCCATTAGAGAAAAGTCAATGCACCCACAAATAAAGTGCATGCTTTTCCTTGAAGAGACTTTTTAAGTTGTTGGTGCTGACACGAAATGCTCTGGATGGGGAAGAGCAGTTTGGATGCTGAATATGCAAATAGATGTGCTAATCATGCTAACTTTATTTTACAATATGTTTTATTTCTGATTTTTCTTAATGTCTGAGATGAGTAGCAAAATATGACTGATGAGGGAAATACTTTCGGATTTAAGCACTTTATTTGTTGACTTAATGCTTTAACTAAAGAACTCAAAGATGGATGTGTCTACATCTGTGGTGTATGACATATAATCTTACATCTGGTTTATGACTTATAATCTAATTATATGGCCACACAGCAGCTGTTTTCTGGGAGGTATGTTAGATAATCTGGTTTTCCAACTTTGTTCTTGGAAATCTTCATTATGAGCAGGTAAGTGTTAGTTGCTATATGTGAACAGTTGCTGATGTGGTTGTAAATCTGCAAACAGAAAATTTCAGAGTCAGAGGATTGACTGCATTTTGCAGTGTACCAGATTTATACTGCACTAATGGAGAATAATTTTATATATTCAGAAGAATATTTTGAATGTTCTATAAGTTGCTATTAGAATTTATTGGTTTAAACTAGCAAAC